TTCATACGTATGAGACTACCTTATTTCATATATGAAAACTTCCAAAAGCGTAAAGAATTCAGAGGCTTGGCTGGATAGATAGATTAAATGTTTACACAAAGCTAGTAAGCATTATCATTTTCTTGTAAAAGATGCTGTCACTTCTGCAGCGCCGCTCTTCAGAGATTCGAGCTCCCTGAGTGATGTGACATGGGATGAACGGGGTAATGCTGCGATATCTTTCCTAGAGCTCCGTAATCAGGCGTACACCAAAGGGCAGCCATCATTCTGTGGCATTTCTGACAAAGCAATAACCGGATTACTGTGAGCTCTAGGAATGTCATCGCTGAATCACATAGGCGGTGTGCTGAATACAGGAGGTAAGCTGAAAATGGAGTTACTGGAGGACGAGTAACAGAGCCAATGCTTATTGTGAAGTCTGGCTCTAATCCTTCATGGAAAATGACTTTAAAGTCCTGAATTCTGTTCTCTTATTGAATACAAGAAATTTTCACACTGACGAATACCTGTAAGTAGATTTTTTTAAATGGTAGATTACGCTAAAATCATGTTTTTGATCAGTGCACTGTTTATGTAACAGTGTTGGTAATGGAAGATGCTCTATTAGCACAGAAACTAAATTTTTCTGTCTATACAGGCCAGATACATAGGGGGAGGGCCCACTGCATTCAAGCTTCCCCACACAGCTCCATCAATCTACCTAAACTCTGACTTGAAAGGACCACTATCAACAGGGGTGAGAAATGATGATTCAAATGCATTTCATTCCACCACAGTCCCTTTCTAAAAAAACTTTGTCTGTCATTTTAGAGTAGAGGCATTTTCTTTTTGTTTTGAATTTTGTTTTGCTTCTTCTTTTAATGGCAAGAAGTATGACAGTAAATAATACTTTTTTTCAATTTGAAATAAAAGATTCCTCTCTGCATACAAAATTTCACCTGTCCCCATCATTGTGACATGATCTAAAACTGCAAATGTGTCTTTGCAAACGAATGCCAAACCAGTAAGCAATGTGATGCTTTGCCAAAGCAATATATGTTTACCATCGCATTCCCAGCCATGTATCTTGATATATTTGCAATTTTTTTATAATTACAGGCATTTAGTGAAGTTTTCCAAACTGAAAGAAGTTCACAAATAAATGAAAATTAGTCCTTTTATTTCAGAGGATTTGGTGTACACTAAAATGAACAATTTCCATTAGTGTCTACAGTGCAATTAGTGATTGTTCAGCTTTCAATCAATTTTTATCATAAAATATTTACTCTTAAAACATCAGAATTTGACTACATTTTAGCGTGATGTCTGCAAACATTAAAACTTAAAATATTAAAAAGGGACATCAATATGACATTCATTTTCATGTGCCTTGGTATATATATTCATCTCTTGTGCCATTTGCATTCTTGCATGGTTGTGATATGTTGTATTTGGAAGTTTAACAATTTGTATAGGGTATGATATTTCTGATGGAGCACAAAACCATGGATGAGGAAAGCTAGACTACATGCCCGTCTCTAATTCTTTGTTATTCAAGTCATCCTGGTTACTTTCTATACCTCACTGTACTGCATTATGCTATCAGTAGCCACTCAGAGAGATGTCATGAGGGAAAGCCTACAATTATATGCAATTATTAATAACTCCATAAGGCACTGTATAGATGCCAAGTGTCTCTGTTCTGTTGTGGTTATCATCCTTAATGATGATTGTCACTGAAATAAAAAGCGCTGGCAATTGAAATAAAGATAAATTTCTGTTTTCCTAAATGTCTGATTATAATCATTACAAGAAATGTAAAGATTTCTAACTCAATAGGGACAGACAGGTATAACTGAGAGTTTGCTCTCATAAATTACTACAGCAGTTGATTGCATATTTATGTTCCATTAATATAAAAGAGTAGCTGCTTCTTTCTTTCTTTTTTTTTTTTTTTAATAAATGTGACTCACCTTTTTGTGCCTCCATTCCAGGCAATCACTTTGTCATCTGTAGTAAATGGAATAGGCAGCTTTTAAGTAACTAAATGAGTAGCTGCCATAGCTAGTCAGCCTAAGGAATATCTGAATCGGGGGTTCAGAAATTGTATTGACCAACAGGGAAAAGAAGAACTAAAATTCTAGACATCTTCTGTTCTTGTTACCCAGAGTGTTCTCAGGATATCTGCAGGTCAAGAAAACCTACCCACTTTTGTTTTGGGTAATTTGTAGTTTAGGCACTTCTTACATACACCAAACAAATTAATTGGTCTATTTTACAGCTTGCTGGTGTTCCACTCAGTATTCATGTAAACAAATCTGTTTCCTTAGCAAAGAGGAATATTTTGACCGTGAGGTACATTTCCAGTTATTACAGGGAAAAAGCTGAACATCTAGTTGGATAACAAAAGTTTTCTAGGAGGCAGTAAAGGCACGGAGTATAAAGGCATTATTGAAGACATTGACACAATAAGCCTTGGATAGTGCTTTCTCCTTAGCATGAGTGAGAGAAGAGTGAGTTTCCATCCATGGTATACATCGTTCTCTGCTGCCAGACTCAGGAGACTTCTCATATACTGAAGTGCTTTGCAGAATTAAAAATGGACTTGTCCTATACTGAAGTATCACTCATTTCAGTATATTTTTTTTATTACAGTCCAAACTACCCAAACTGTTGAGAAAATACTTCTCAATCTGTAGCTACTATGATATATTAACAGTTATGCTGGTTTATTATTAAAGTTTAATTTACATTACGAAAAGTTTTGAATTTTTGGTCAAATTATGTTGTGTATTTGGGCCACAGAATTCGAAAACATGGTCAGCTATTGATGGGATGCTGATGTCTTAGAACAGGTAATATATGGAAAATGTTGGTTGCAGTTTTCTACTGTTAAACTTGTCACATGGTCTCACAGTGCACCTTCTTTATAAACTTCTTCATATCTATTCTGAAATCTTCCAGTGTAATAAGGTGGACAAGTCAACTTCAGAGACATTTTTCAAGGTTTTTGTTTTAATTTTTGTCATTGTTTTTATGGTTTTAATATCATAATATGCTGCATGTCATGTCATTGATTATTTTAATAGCATGTCTCATCGTGAATTTAATTTTTAACTAAATAATTAACTCATTATCAGGTTTGCAGAAGTCCAGGTATCTATTAAACATGTCCAATTATATTTTGTGTGTACTTGTTCTTGCTTTAACAAAACCATTTCCATTTCATAAACATTTATTTTGGTTTAATCCGGATGATCTAACATATGCTTAATTTCTCTGCAGCCAACAAATTACGCCAATCCAGTATATGCAAAGTTATACATGGATGGACAAAACTGTCGAAACTCCTTAGCAAGTGTTGATGAAAGAAGAGAACTCCTTCCAAAGAAAATAGATATTGGGATAAGGGAGACTGTGGCATAATCTGCTGTTACCTTTTATACTCTGTATAAATGTATAAAATATAAGGATTACTTTTCTATGTACCAACAGTATTATAATTGTTTTAGCATCAGCATTACCTCTGTTTTTTGTTTGGTTGATTGTTTTCTGGGTTTTTCTTTTGCTGATGACTTTTGACTGACCATTTGTAAGGTATTTTTATGAAAAAAGAAACTGCACTACGGTACAATTTACAACAATGCTGCTGAAATAACACACCTTTAAATTTGTTAAAATTGCAAACAACGTATTCGTTTGTAGCGTGAAAATGAGCAATCTATTTTCTATGAACTTTTTTGGTTCTACTTAATCAATGAAGATGGTATCTGCACTTTTTCATTATGTAGTCTGGAAGCTGTAGTACAGTGTGTAATTTTGTTTATTTTAAATGGTGAAAGAATGATTGAATGGTCTACTCTCTTCTTCGTGCCCATTAGAACTTCTCTTCAGATCCTGATAAAGCTAGATAACTTTTCACAAACAAACATAACTTGCTTTTAAATTAGCTTTAGGTTGCCAAGAAGTAAACAAGACTATAGAAATGAAACATCTAATGATTTGCATGAACACAATGATTATGTTTCAGAAATTCAGTGACTGTACATGATATACTAAGCATATATACCATGTAAACAAGCTTTGTATTTATTAAAACCTTATAGAACCTAGTAACGATATATCTTGGAAGCTGAAACCTTACTTGCTGTGGGACAAAGTATATGAACTCCAACAGTCCTGTAGGACAGTAGCCACCCTAGAGCACAAGAGGGCATTGCCTACACATGCATTATATGTTTATTCACTTAATCACATGCATTACGTATGGATTAATAATTCCCCAGCACGTACCAAGCAGTAGGGAAAAATCCAAACCCCAAACCTTAAGCACACGCAGATGATCACAGCATTCAGTTTTGACAATCACGAAAAAGTCGTACCTGTCTAGAGATGTTAAAGAATACAAAACACAGCAGTTTCTTTAAATGAAGATAAACTGTGATAATAATCCAAATTGCATATTAATTAAACCTTACCTAAGCCCGAGTTTCAATAGTCTGGGTTAAAAACATTAAAATCCAGTTATCAAAAGTGAAAAGCATCAGTATTAATTTCCAGCACTTGCTTTGACCTGGTCTCCTTTCTGTTGTTGCTAAGAGGAAAAAATCCGACTCACCTTTTTTAATTTTGATGGAAATAAAGAATACAATTTCTTTCAGGTTTGAACTGAATTGAAATATTTTATACATAACTTTAAAGGCACAAAAGACTTGTTCACACATATACCGTGGAGGATGCTTCCTTCCTCTGCTAGACATGACTGACTTTTAGCTATCATAATATATTAACCTAACAGATTAAATATGTTTGTGGTTGCTCTTTATTCCCTTTGTACAAGCATTACAAAAATAACTGCTGTTTTATAAAAGATTTTTGTTGTACTATTGTGCATGCATACTACCTATTTCTAAACTTTGCCATATTGGGGCCTTTATAAAAGTCTTGATTTATGTAATACTAGTGCAATTTTGCTTGAAAAAATGTTATGCATATCATAAACTTTTTCAGGTTCTTGTTTAAGTACATTTTTTTAAATTGAACAGTATTTTTCATTTTGGTTATAATAGTCATTTTGCCTATGTTTCTACAATGAAGTGTTAAATACTTTATAAAAAAAATTGTTGACTGATTTATTTAAATGAAAATCTACATACTTAATTCAGTGTGTTGGCTAATTTTTAAATTCAACTTATCAAATGAAAAGTAAAGAAGAGCAAATTGAAGGGAAAGAACATTACTTTGTACAAATGGCCAGATTCCTTTTCTTAATGACAATTTTTGCTTTTTATACAACTTCTATTTGAATGTTTTTGCAGCTCTGCACATTTGGATAACATAGGGGTATAGCTGTATATTATGTCAATAGAACTTTAAAATTATTTTATTTTATTTTATATAAAAATACTGTATTAAATAGTGTTGTACCATACAGCTATGGTTCCACAGGTTCTGCCTTTATTCCACTGACATCATCAGAGGTGGATTTGGCCCTCAATTTTTGCATAATTACAGTTGCTATGAAGCGTAAGTAGTTGGTCTTTTCAGAAACATTACTGTTTCTTTTCTGGCAGAGAATCTCAAATCTTTAGTACTCAGGTAAAACTAAATTTTAACTAGTGAGTGTACAAGTAATGTGAGTTTGAAATTATGAACTCTTATATGGACCTGGTGACATTTATTTGTTGTGGTGCCTCATGTCTCATGGTTCCTTCCAGTGAGACATTTTTATTTGCACGTGCTTAAGTGTAAATTATTTTTAAAAAGATATTTATTTGTTTTCTTAGAAATACACAGTTGATGTCAGTGGATCTGTTAGGTATTGGATATTAGATCAGAATCTGGTCTTAAGTTTATAGGCAGAATTTTGATGGAGATACTGAGCTCTACCACTGCCATGCGTTAAAGATCTTTAAATTACACATCAGTGTAATAATCCCCAATAGATTGTTTGTTTGGTTGGTTGGTTTTTTTTTACTTTACCAAGATTCTCCATAGGAACTCTTTCTCACAATCCTTTAACAGAATCCCCAGGCTCTGTAGCTGTGCTTAGGGACATGGTTTAGTGAGTTAGGTGGTGTTGGGTTGGACTTGATGATCCTTGAGGTCTTTTCCAACCTTAATGATTCTATGATTCTATGATTCTATGTACAAAACACACAAGGAGCTGGAGGGTGACAGATTGAGAACCTGATCAATAAGCTATATATACATCCTCATAAATTCAGTAAAATAATTTTGGACAGGAAATTCTATAAACTTTTAAAAGGAATAACAAAAATATTTAACATTCTACATTTCCGCAGCCACCTTGCTGTTATTAATGCCACAGATTCATGTGAGTTTTAAGTTGGCATAAGCTTAGAAGAAGAGAATTTGGAGAAATGTGGCTGTATCAGTGATTAAAACATCTGTCTCTTTGGGGTATAGTTGCAAGGCTTTTTGTGGTTGCTTTCCTGAAGATACTAATGACACTTAAGGTGAAATGTTAGTGCTGTACTATTTCACTAAATTCACCAGGGTAAAATTTTTCTTCCACGATACTAATAATTTTTCTTAGTAATGTGAAGCAGTTTTGGGGTTCCATGAATATCAGGTGTTGAAAATATTTAGGGAAGTGGAACTTCTGGTAAATCTAACCCTGAAACACTCTGTTCATTTATTTTTTACTCCTAGGCTAAGGAACAGTTCCAGGTTCCTGGTTGACCACGATACAGTTCTATGTCTCTTTTTACTTTCATTCCCCACATTTTCATTCAACAGAAAAAAAAAAAAAATACACGTAAGCTTGAGGGGTGACATGATGTGCTCCATCACAAACCAAGTTCTTCACTACTTTGCTGAATGCACAAGCTCTACACACAACATGAAAAAACAAGAGAAGCGTTTGTGCCAAACTTTATGTAATTGGGTCTAATGGATCCTTTTTTTTTTTTTTCTGCAGAGGCTTTACTAGTATATTTATGCATAACAGCAGTGCAGTGGAGTCTCTGATTTGTGACAGGCCTCTTGCTCTCCGCAAGAGTTTGCGTAAAGACTAAATTATGACAACAAAAGTTCAAAATTACAAATTTGAGATGGATGATGCTCTTGCCACTTTGATTAGTCATTCCACACAGATAAGATTGCCAACATGAATACAGTCCTGTAAATAAACACACTAGGAAGCACATTTGAGAATATCTGTTTTGATGTGCGTTTTTCAGTTGGTCTTTCATTTCCAAGACAGTCATGGGGTTTGATGTTTGCAGAAAGAAGGTTCTGTAGTGGGATGCCTTTAAAACTTCTACCTAAGTTCATTATGTATTGGTGAGATTGTGGAGAAGGTCCTAATATAACACTGATTATTTAATTTTTATCATGCTCTTAGTGGCCAGAATCAGTGTGGTCACTCTATGTAATAAAACTTCGTGTAAAAAAAAAATTTGTTTCACATAAAAGTGTATCAGAATAAAACCAAATATCTTCTCCTGCATCCCACTTTTTGGAGGATGAGAAGTTGATAAAGGAAAGAAATGTCTGATATTAAAAGGTCCTCAGGGTAATCAGCCTCAAAAATAAAGACCTTCCTGATGTGGAACAAGCAGACCGACGGTGAGTCTTGTCTGTCTAGCCCTGAGCATCTCTGCAAAGACATTGAGGCATTTGGAATTTTTCAAGTCTTGGATGGGCAGAAGTATGGCTGATGGAAGGAATGATAATTTATCATTCTAGTTGTCTAATTTATCACACTTACCATCTCCACATGTGTGAAATACAGATCGGATGAAAATAAGGGTTTCTAATTTAGTGCCCATATTGTAAGATGACAAAAAGGAGCAAAGAAGCATAAAGCATCTTTTTGCTTCCCTATGTCAGCTGCCTGTCACTTAGTACATGTTGTGACTCTCATGACCTCTGACAGTGGTCTTCAAAGTAGTGCTTGAATAGAGGGAACTGTCTGCTGGTCTCAGGAGGATGTTGAATGAGTTTTTCCTGGAAAGAAGATAATAGTACTGCTACCTCCACTACTGCTACTAAACCAAATAATGATCCATTTTTATCCAAAAAAATAAAATTTTAAAATATCAAGATATGTACATATACAGAATATGTATAGTATGAGAACTGATGTGTAGTTACTCTGAGTAAAAACTCATTTTCACAGGTGAGTAGAAAGGAAGGTCTGAAACTGCTATGGAAACTCAAGGGGTATATTCATTTAGGATTACTGTTAAGCTCTTTTAAAGTGAGTGTTCAACCTGAAGAAAAAAAAGGATTACACAAGCCGGCCACTGAATCTTTCCAAATCTTAAAAAAAAACCATTTTGGACATTACAAGAGTTGGCACCTCAAAATATTTCCAAAAAAAAGTTGGGTAGTCAGTTTCTCACTTGTGTTTCATGTCGGTAGTGCGCAAGCAGCAATCTTGTGTCACATTAATACGTGTTTGCTGATTCGTTGGAGATAAACAGAATAAGGTAAGCACATGTGGATTCACAACAGCACTAGATGAAGAGATGATCTGCTCAAGAGAGCAGTATTGAGCCACCTGGATAGCTCAAGAGGTTGGGGAGGGATTGCCCTTGAGCCTGGGGCAATGGGCTTCTACCTGCATCAACATGCCTGGATCTGCTGATGTCCAAATCTGGTGATCTGTGTGTGTGCCACATGCTGAGCTCTGTAACAGGCCAACACCCAAGCCAGTCCAGGGGCCTCAATGGTCTCTGTCCAAAGAGCAGGAGACAATGTTGAGATACTATGTTTTAATTCCATTGATGACTGTAAGGTTTGGTCATCACCCACATGGCCAATAGGCTGTCCCAGTCTAAGACTGGTGGAGTCTGGAATGCACCTCTGAAGAGCACATCGTTGTTGGGTGTGAGACCCTTCACATCTTGATAAGGAAGCTGTAGCAGAGAGCGTGTCAGATGGAGCTTTCTGTCTTCTGTCCCAGACCTCATGGCCT